ATGCATGACGACTCCTAAAATACTCGGATGCATGTTGGTCTTGGTGTTAAAATGGTTTGAGACACTTCAGTCAATGCTTGGAAAGGTCGATTATTGGACAATGCAAGTCAGCCTAGTCAACAATTTTTAGGCTAATCAAGCAAAAATTCTAGGGATGTGTAGTATTGTCCATCTCGTAAAAACTCATTATGATTTTTGGCATGCTAATGTTTATTGTAGGCACTTGAGACTATCTTCCTAAAACACATATATTGGTGGTCTTCCTTCGGGACACTTGTCATGGGTGAGAGGTAAGATACACAAGTTGAAGACTTGAGAAAATGTAGGACCGAGGCATAGGTGGACCCACCACTTATGGAAGCCCCATGCATTACTATGAGAGACAAGACATCGTTGACACAAGTGGGCAAAGCAAAGCATCACAAGGTGGACTGAAGTAAGATGTTCTTGCATGCTTTGAAGAATAAGACATGGGCTGAGCGTAGCTTGACAATTATTGGCACGTTAGCACAGACGAAGGCAACGTGTTGGGCACACAAGTGGAACTTCGTCTGATCAAGACAAAGTTGGGGATGGTTTCAACTGGTTATCAGTACACAACTGATCTTGCATGTTTAGATTACTTTTGATTGGATAGGAAGGTATGTTCATTTGTTGGGTAACCACCAAACAAACAAGCAAAAATAAACTTAAAACCCAACTAAAAATAGCTAACCCTTTCCATACAAACCTAGCCAAGTACTCTCTCTCTCTCTCTCTCTCACACACACACACACAGAGTGTTAGTCACTATGGCCATTGACGGGACATTTCTGTCAAGTGGGTCCACCAGCCCTACTCCCAATGAAGGAATTGAAATATATCACAAATAAGACCCACTACAATAAATATATGACAGGTAATAAGTATCCTAGTAAGATAGTCCATGCTTATATTCTTATATTGATGGTTGTACAGTACGAAAATGGTAAATAGCTCTCTAATCCTCTCTATACATAGGGGTTCTCAAGTAAGAGCACTTCGACTCTATACTTCATACACACACCTTTGTTCATTTTTCAGTTTTGTACACTCGCCTATTCAGATATTGATCGCGATATTGACTTAGGTATCGGAGGGATTTTCCCTGGCTCAACACTTGGGGTCCCTCTAACGTCTCTTTGTCTTGCTGCTCATGGATTGAATGATACTCATAGATTAGGGGCGCATCTCGACATATTTCAACGATTGACGGATTTTTACCCGTGCAGCCATTATCCCATCACTATGATTGCTGCCAACACAGTGCTCGTCGTCGACCAACACCACTTTTTTTTTTTATGCTGTGCAATGTAAATCAATAACCTAGTAAATGTTTGACCGAAACAAACTCGTATCAATCAACATACTATCAAAATAGGCAACCCGAAGAATGTAATTATGGACTAACATGCCTTGTAGACAAGGCCAACACTGTTGAGTTCATTAGTAACTCTGACCAAAAATCTCATCAAACTACGAGGATTGTAACGATCTCCGCTTGGATCATACACACTCATTCAATATCAAGCATTGAGTCAGGCGTATCCAACACTACCAAAACAAAATTCAATTCGATCTTTTTTTTTTATAATAATTGGCCCGCTTGATGCAAATACGAACAGGCGCATATTTTGTACCTGGGGTGTCTCTAGTTCGAACACTTGGGTGCCAGAAAATTTGCTGGTGACGCGAATCAGCCGAGAGCTTCGTCGCAGTGGAAGCTTCCAATGCGAGTGCCAACTCGCTTGGGTGTTGAAGAAGCTATCTTGAAAGAATGAACCCTAGATGGTCCGCAGGGATGATGGAACGCATGATTCATTTTGGTCGACCAACACCACTTAAACCGTTCATTTCCTCCATTCCTCTCTCTTTCTCCTTCCCTTTCCCCACTAATGGATCTCTGGTTTCTTTATGCGTGGAGATGTCATAGCTGCAAGCATTTTCATGCTCTACTAACCTAAACAAAGAGAAGCAAAGAGACTAAACACAGTATGATAAAACCAAAGTGTCTCCGAGGTACAAATTAAAATTCATTATGTGAGTACCTTGGATCAAGATATTTATGCTTTTTTTTTTTTTTTTACAATTAGACAGAATGGATAGTTTACTCTTTTTTTTTGATCCGAAAGAGTCATCCTTGAATGGGGATCAAACGGGTATTTCACCAAATAAATTATGTTCACATTATCATAAACTAATTTGTCAAAAAAACGGTCCATTAATTGAGTGTGACACCTAACACTAAAGAGTAAAATTTAGTTCCACTCCGTCACGTGACAACCCCTTCCCTCCATGATGTCTATGGGCAAAGATCGAAAGAGCCATCCTTGTCGTTGTCACCTCACGTGTCCCCTTTGTCCATTTGCATTTCGGACCCCACGGTAAGAAAAGGACAGGGGTGCCCCATTAAAAGCAAAGGGACAAGAACAGAATAACAAAATAAAAAAGTGGGACCCATTAAAAAATTCATTTAGGAGCTTGGAGAAACGTGTCGGCTGCTTAATTGGTCCGATGGAAATGAGTTACAAAGTCAATGTTCGGATAAGCTTCCCACGGCCTCCTTTGATCTGCTACACACTACAAGGCTAATTTATAGCAAAAATATCGCGATATTTGAGATGCATCATTCTATCGTGATATAACTAATAACTAAGTTCTGTGCTTACAACTAAGTACCAATCTTGGTGAGATAAGAGGTGCGCAATCCTATTTAGATTGAATTTATAAATTTAATAATAATAATTAAAAATTATTTTAATTATATGTATTTATAATTATTAAAGGTGTGTCTTACGCGGTCAAGCAGAGGTGAATGGTTTGAAGATCTTGCTGTGGATGTTAAAGGGGATTACTGGGATATTCAGTCAAAATTTCTTGGCTCTTGAGGGTTGAAATATCAAATTAGGGGAATAACTATGAATAAAGATCGATAGACAGAGAATTTATACCGGTTCAATAGTTCAAAAGTTTAGCTAGTTCACTCTAATTGAATCTCTTACTCTTGAGAGAGTTTTCTATTTACTGGGAGAAGAAGATTACAAAATTACACAAAGCAATAGTACAAATTCTTACTTGATTACAATGCAAGCGATTTGATCCCTACTTATAGTATACAGTTACCTTTCGTAATTGCCTTGCGTGATTTTTGCTATCCTCATGTAACCAACATGGTCCTTGTGTATTCAGCGTGATTTTCCCTTAAGGCTGTTACGTCTCATGTGTCAGAATATTTGGTCGTTAGGGGTTACATTCCTTAAACGTGACATGACCTTTTAGAAGATACGAGTTATTGTTGTGATTGTGTGCACGAGTATCACGTCGATGATGATTCCTGCCATGTACCTCCCAGGCTAAAGTTCATGGGCTGAGAGATCTGAGCTGAAATGTCCGAACTAAAAAGTCCGAGCTTAACCTTAATTAATTTTAAGTACCATCAGTTATAAAGCAAAATAGAAATGCATGCAACCACCAACAAGACACCTACTTCTAACCAACTAGAATGTCTTTCTTAAGATATAATGATAATAATTCATAACACCTTCTCATCCAAGCTTAGAAACACCGTGATGCATCAACTAGGGCGGTGTGAGGTTAGTGGAGTAAAAACGTTAGTACAATTTATGGACCACTGTCCACTAAGTCATGGTGTGCGTGCCAACAAATTTATAAGATTTATCATTTCTGAAGGAATTATTACGCACAATTAAACTTTTAATAAATACACGTGACATAAACACATGTGACAGAAATATAGACAATATGACAAAGTCAAAGCGACCCTACCCATGTTATGAAAAAATCAGGCAAACATGTGTTTGGCTTAAGCTGGTAAAAAAGGGAGCTTCATCATTGAACGACTCAATTAGCACAATAGTCGAGTAGTCGATAAAGATTGAGTTAAAGTACGAGAGTTGAAATCCAACAAATTTAAGGAAGAGCACTAAGCCGAACAAAAAGATAGTTAGACTATCTCAAACAATCAGAAGCAGTTTTATGTTGTTAATGAGAAAATTGTCTAATTCATAAGTGCACATTAGAAACATAAGACTTAAATAATCGATTAATAATAAATGAAACTCAGAAAAGTGCAAAATACAAATATGAGAAGATTTGAATAAAAAATGGGTGTCCTACCTTGTTTCAATCATCAATTAAACCCTAAAAAACAAGTACATATACCAATAAAACACCAGATGACTTAAGTTCCACACTTCTTTCCCCACTGGTGGTCTGTTTGATCTCAGACCCTTATTGATTTAAGTACTAGAGTGCCTTCAGCCGATTAAATCCCGGTCAATGACGATTTGTTTGTTTTGTTAGGTGTGGTTCACTCAGGTCATGTTCAAATTAGATTGTTTTGTTTACATATCATCAATAAAAAGTGCAAGATTTTTTCTTCGTACATTATCATTAAAAATAATTAAATCAATGAGACTCAATATTAAAACAAAATTAACAGTTTATGTTCATCAAACTAAGACTGTCAATCATGTTAGGTAAGACGGGTTCATATCGTGTCTTATTGAGTTTTTATCAAAAAATATTTCATTCATATTCGATTCGTTTATTAATTAATGATTAACATATTGTATCATATTAAATTCATATCATGTATAAATCATGTATAATCGATATATGAATGAGTCGTGTCATTTAGTAAATATGTTTAATAAATGTAGGATTATTGATATGATCACAATTTTTTTGATCCACCATGCTCACACTATATCAACTCGCGAGATAATAACGATAAAATATATTTTGTACGCTATCAATGCATCCAAAGAAGTGCAAAGTATCCACGCCCCGGTGGCCCACCAGTCATGTACCAATCTTATCCTCCTCGAACCATGTTTCCAGTTTCCGGTTTCACAAAACCGCTATTTCTGTCTCTCTATAAATACGCTACACCCGCTACCTCCATCTCCCGATTCTGCTTAACAGCAAACACACCAAAGCAAAGAAAGAAAGACCTAACCATGAGTTTCCTAATAAGCCGTGTTTGGATGGCAGCGAGTGTCGCCGTCGTTAATGGCCGCACGGACCACGACCTGAAATGGAAGTCAGGTCTCACGTCTCTCCACCACAGCAAAAACCGATTCTCTTCGTCCTCCGCCGTAGCTGGTGGAGATGCGGCCGATTTCCGGCCAATTTCCGGCTTGCTAGGGTCCGATGTTGGCGAGTTTATTGAAAATAGTGGTAGAGAGCAGAGGAGAAAGCAGGCCGATGAGTCACTCCAGCGAGTGATGTACTTCAATTGTTGGGGTCAGGGCTGAGGTGTTATTGTACCGGCGAGTTTACCGGGATTTCTTGATGGTGAAGCTTCATAAGAGTTTTTTGAGGTGGTGAAAAGTCGCCGCCGGGAAGGAGTGGGTTGAGTTGACTCTGAGATCGGGA